CCCTTCATAAATAAAAAAATTTTAATAAATTTAATTTGATGGAGTTAGCCGCTTTGGCTTCTGAGTGGCTCAAATATAAAATGAAGCCGTATATTATTGTGTTAAACGCGCATAAAAGTAAAAAAAGAAACAATAAATTTTGTATTTTTAATCTTACATTGTATTATTAGTATTTCTCCGATGAAAATTAATTCCGACCAGCTCAGCACCCATGTCCGAGCTAAATTCGACCGCGAAGGGTTAATAAACGCCTCGATTTAGCACGTCATTCAGAAAATTCGCCGTTTATCGCTTAACGTCGCCGAGACGAACGAAATTGCACAATCAAGGAACAAGAATTACGTGCTTGCAGACGATCGGAATTACGTGTTAGCAGTTTGCCTGGCCGATGGGAATATCGTTATGCTGCGTTCATTCGACGATGTCTCGCCCATCACGATACGTACAAATCTGAAAGCGCCCCTGCACGCGGAATGGAGCAATTCCAGAAAGCTGTTGGCGATTGCCGGGACGAAGGACTCGGACAATTCTCAGAGCACCCCGCACGAGTACACGAACCTTTTGAAATTTTATTCGGTCACCGGTAGCCTTGTGTACACCGCGGCGATACCATACACGCAAGTACGTATCTTTCTCAAAGAACAAAACGAACGAACCGCTTATTAGCTACATGAAAGATCGCGATCGTAATGCATATTACGTTTCTCTCTCTCTCCTCGTTGTCGATATTAGTGTCCTGTGTCGGCACTTACATGGGGTCACAACGACAGAAGACTTTTCGTCGCGACTGGAGCACGCGTTCATGCTGCATGGGTGTCAAGGTAATGTACAGTCGGTGGAAGCGATATAGCGAGGTCGTAAAATCAGTCAAAATAAGTACACGTTATACTACGCCTCAATCGTTCACTGCTGCAACTTAATTTTTATTAATATGCAAATTACTGGAGAATAGATGGTGACTTTGATGATGAATTTAAAGGGTCATAAAAGTGTTATAAAGTAGAAAACGGGAACGAAAAATTGAAAGTTATTAGAAATATGGCGTCCGCGTGCAATGACGTAAAAAGATATATTTTGGCACCGTCCCAGAAAGTTTAAATATCAATTCAGAAGTGACGAATCGCCCCGAGTGCGGCTACGTTAATCGGTGTCGCCGTTTAGTGCTTTAATTTACGACCTCGCTGTATCGCTCCCACTAACTATACAGCTCCTCTTATCTGACCGTTGTTAATCCTTAATGCACGGTGCATATGTTTTATAGGCGAGTAGGCTCGCTGCAATTGTTATCCCGTTTAGCTGTGAGGGCGTCTCTAGCGAGGGAATCTAGCGTTCAACAACTACCATTGCCACCGAGATTAAGAGCATCGGTGGCTGCTCTTTTCGCTAGTACAATAAGGTAAAACGAACTCGACTCTTCTCGTAAAATTAGACATAAATTCATATATCAGGTTATCCCGAAAGTTCATGTTAATTTCTCGATAGGTTTGACCAACGAAACAATTCAAACTAACGAAATATTAACGATATTTCATATTAAATATACAGATGTTCCGTACCAGAGCCGAGAGAGTTAAGGCGTTTCGTGTCTCGTCCACCTCCAGGAGGTGGAAGACTACACTGCACGATGCTCAGACACGCCGTGGAACCTGTGCCGTGTTATACGTTATACCTAGAGTACTTGGGTGGTTTAGTGCCTCTCTTAAAGGGTAGAAGAACAAGCAAAATCAGACCGGAGTTTGTGATATTCGATCCGCAAAGCCAAGACATTCTTCAAGTCGTGGAGGATACATCGCAGTGTCCGTCGTTCAGCGATGGATCCGACACAGAGAGAGACACGGCTGACCTGTGCGGATCTCCCAGGAACAAAAGGAAAAATCGACGGAAAAGAGAAGAGAAATCGAACGAAGAGACTGACGATCTCACATACGTGGATACTTTACCCGAGGTAAATTATAACATAATATTTCTTCCGATTCACTGTCTATTGTCTATTTCTCTTATTCCGGTCTACGATAGACGAAGCAACAATCGTTTCGATTCATTCGAGAGAACGTAGCGAAAGATCGATTTTAAGAACCCGCGTATAGCACTTGCAGTCGGCGAATAAGAAATTGCGTGATGTAGCAAAGTTTACCAAGTCCTCTTTGAGCCTTAGGGAATTGCAAAGTCAGTCACGTGACTAGGAGTGTCGCAAGACGTATCTGTTTGCAGCACGCGAGGCTGGTCGAAGTAACGTCCAATATCTGGGGCACGAAATTCAAATTTCACGGACTGGCGGATTCGGTCCCTGCGAACTTAGGTCAAGTTACTTATCGAACATCGTTGCTGCACTTGCAGCCGCGGCAAATGACTCTGGTGATGACGGAGCTGCGCGATGACGTGCCAGCAGGTAAGAAGAAAGTTTCATTTTGAAGAAAACATAAGAAAAGTTTTATTTAAAATAATTTCCATAGTGTTCGATACATTTTTGCCAATCTCCATTCGATCGATTTTCTCCTAGGTCCAGATCCTACGTTCAATCCTAATTTATTCTCCGAAGACGAGGAAGAATCGTTTCAAGAACTTCAAGCTGCCTCGAGAAACACGTCCGAAGCACAACCTCCTCCAATTGCGCCGATGACGCCTCGTAACGCGCGACTCAACTCTAATCGTCCAAAATCTCAAATTTCTAATCAATTTATGACCAGCGAAGCCTTATCTACCACGCTGCCTAGGGTCGAGAATTACGAGAACGAATTGCCCTACGTAGACTTGCAGGAAATAGGAAACTTGTACGAGAACTTGAGAACCGCTCCCACGAACACTTATCGAACACCACCGAGGCACAATCCACCGAGATGTTGCGACGTGCCAGCTCTTCAATCACCGAAAAACGCGGTTGCACCCACGCAAACCATAATCGCGACGTCGAACACGGGAACCGATTACTCGAACAATATTCAAAGAATGAAAACCGCGCTTGCAGATCAACAGCCTGGTCTAGTAACGAAGAAAGAGCTCGAGAACAATAAATTCAATCAAATTTCACAAGATGAGAAAACCGTGTTAACATCCTGTCCATCGACTATCATTCCCATGTCGATACAAAACGGACAAGCTTCAACCATGGAAGCGTCGAACAGTCACGGTTGTTCTCAAGGTTCTATTGTCAATGGTTTGGACAGCAACAATATTAGCAACACTCAGTCGCAGACGATATTTTTTAACGCCTTGCACAATATCACGTGTTCGAGCACTGTGAACGGAATTCAGGGTAAAAACAATCACAACGCCAACTGTTTAGTAAATCAGACATCTTCGACGAATACAACTGCTCAGCATACACCGAGCAATGGTCCTTTCAGCAAAAATGGGATACACTTGTCCAGCAATCATTCGCCAGCCTGTTCTTATCAATTTCCGGAGAACATCGATCAGTGTATCGGACAATCTTGCTCCCATTGCACTTCGAAGATCAGAGATCCGAAATCTCGCGAATTGTGCGGGAAGATAAGTAGCCCTACCACCGGTAGAATCGACGAAATGCGTTTCATCGACGAAGAGACTCGCGGGGAGACTGAAGGAACGTTCGATCAGTCGCGAGCTGTTCACAGAACACCCACGGTTGTCAGTATTGGCCCTCTTTGTGTGAACGATTCCATAGTGAGAAGCTGCAGCGTTGGTTACTTGGACCTGGTTGACGCTCAATTAGTCCCCTGTGACGTTGCTTTGAAGATGTTGAGGAAGGAGGCGCCGAACAAGAGACTGGTCTTGGTATCGAGGAAGTCGAAGAGGAGAAAAAAGAACAAAGCTCAGCAGGAGATAGGGCAGCAAAGTTCAAAATCACCGAGACTTCGTAATTGTGGTAAATCTAAGAGTTTGGACTCCAGTGATATATTTCCGACTAACGAGCAGATAGCTCTGCCGCCGAAGTTGCTCGAACACGTTGAAGAAGTAACGGGAACGACGAATCTCGAGATCGTCGAAGACAAAAGCAACGAGTCCTTGGAGAAGTTGCCAGACCCGATTGAATTATCGAACGAATGCGCGAAGAACACCTCGGACTCCAGTGTTGTTAATTCCATCGAAGTTAAGCCGAGTCGATTGAAAAGTTGTAACTCACCTGCTAGGTAAGCTGACAGATCAACTCACTCGCGCTCATCAATTGCTAGACACTTTACAGATTTATTTTATTCTTACTAAATAAAATTGACACTATTTTTTTACTATGAAGAAAGGTAAATTTCAACTTTAGTAAACACTTTGTTCTTCTAAAAATAGGCAAAGATTGGGAATTTTTTTCATATGTATCTATTGAATGAAAAGTACTCATTTTGTCAGAGGAGATAAATGTAACATTCAGCTTTTTTCTCCAATTTTTAGAAAGTAAGAATGTTTCAAATGGAGAAGTTATCGAGGAATCTCTTCTGTTAGAACGTAATTTTTATTGCATTGTATTTTATTATTTTAGAGGATCTAGCCCAAGCGGTTCATTGGCGTCATCTTTGGATGGTCTTGCAGCCCGGCTTCGAGATTTTGACGAAAGTCACTCTTTGCCACCGCCATCACCTCGTCCATCCACTAGGTAAAATGCTAATTTCTTTAAATTATTTAATAAAACAACGTTTCATCGATATTTGAAATTTCCCTTAGATTGCCTAGAAGTTCTCCTAGCAGTCCAGCACCTTCGAAGAAAGGTAAAAGGCCGGCGTCAGCTTCACCAATTAGGAGAAGGCTTCTATCGAGTCCTTTATTAAGTAGAAAAACACGGAAAAGTCGAGGTGAAAGTTCGGACGAGGAAGGACTCCTGCAGGACGAATCATCGACGAATTACAGGGACCTCGAGACATTCCAAAAGGCGCAATTGCGTCAAAAGGTTGGTAGACAAGATGATGAACATCTTTCTGGTTTATAATTAAAAATGAGTAAAAATGATAAGCATGTTGGTTTTTTGCAAATGTGAATATGATGTATTTTATATACAATTAAAACTGAACTGTGTTCTAAGTCTTCCTCGGTTGATGGGTTAATAAATTCCTTTGAACTACAATGTGCAGTTGAAGCAGAAGGGAGGTGGAATATCTAGTCACAAGTCAGAGGCAGTGAGGCGAGAGCTTGTTATGCACAACAAAGCGCCTATGTGGAACGAATCTAGTCAAGTGTATCAACTGGACTTTGGCGGTAGAGTTACTCAAGAAAGCGCGAAAAATTTTCAAATAGAGTTCAAAGGTCGACAGGTACGACAAACAATTCTTCATTTTCTATATCGTATTTTGTATGATTGAATGACACGTTTATTTCAATGTTGGTACCAGGTTATGCAATTCGGAAGGATAGATGGGAACGCTTACACGTTGGATTTCCAATATCCTTTCAGCGCTTTACAAGCCTTTGCCGTTGCCTTGGCCAACGTCACACAACGGCTCAAGTAATCGTTAGCTGTCGGTACTTCATTTGATACAAGTATGACAATTGCTTTAACCTTTGACAATCAATCCGTTTCCGTTTCGATATTAAATCAAGAAATGATTTCATTTCATATTTAACCTTTGGTATTCGTGTGCAATTCTACTTTACCCAAAGTTATTTTCCTTTCAATTTGGGACAGCTCGAAAGATATCTGAAGTATAGGGTGTTTTAAAAATAGAACCTAATCAAACAGATGATGGAAGAAATATTTTTAGTCTGATATATTGTCAAGGAACAATACGTTACTTTCATGCAATTACAGTAAGTTTACAAGAAAAAATTGTTTCGTCCCTGAAATACAAAACGAGATTGAATAATCGAGATCGGATTGAAATATTTATTTTATCTACTTGATTTTCTAAAATTTACCTGTTACGTACTTTACATTCAACATTAATCAATTTATCACGTAACTGCTGTAACTATTTTTCAGATTTGTGTGAAATTGGGAAAGCGAGTACTGAAAATGCTACCCGGAACATATACTATAATTACATTAAATTATTCGTCCAAACTAAAAAAAAAAAAAGGAAAAGAACAGAAGAAGAAAAATAGCAAGTGATAGAAAAAGGCTAAAGCTGTAACTGTACGCTACACATAGAATAACAAAGAGAAAAGGAGGATACCTTTAAAATACAGCTTTTGAGCATGAAATAGAGCCACATGTCTTTCGATTATTGAAACTAACGACGGGCTAGAATAAATCTTTAAATAAACGAACGAGCGTTCTATCAGTCATCGCCACAATACAGATCTCTTCACACCGAGATCTCGAAGCTGAAGAAAACATCCGGCCTTGTGCGTGTAGTTGCTACAAAACGTCGTAAAAGGAAAACCAAAAAAAGAAAAAACAGAAAAAAAACGAAAAAAAAGAAGAAGAAGAAGAAGAGAGAAAAGAGCAGAAAAATCGTCTGGAGGCCTTAAAGCGGGGAGGCTCTCGAATCGACGCCTTCAAAACACAAAGTAACACAAAAAAGAAAAAAAAAAAAAGAAATACGTCTGTCGCGGAGAAAATCACTTTTTAAACGAGTGAACACCTGAGAGTTGAGAGCGAGTTGAATTTGAGCGGAACACAAAAATTTTGTGGCAAGGAACCGTGGTAATGGGAAAAAGAACAAAAAAAAAAAACGTAAGATTTCGTTGAAATGCTTCTTCGTCGTACCGTCCAAAATATTTCGTTTCTCCCAACTTCGAGCGCTCATTTTTGTATAGTTTATGCGACACGTTGGAGTCTAGTAATGCTGTTGAAAGTTCACCTCGTTCATTTTTGCGGTCCGCCGAGTGTATTAGAATTTTATATACATATATGTATATTGTGACGGACTCGCATAATCGCGCGAGCGTTTCATGTTGTTCGATTAAATGTTTCTTAAGGGCGTATTATAAAATGACGGATGAAAAGAGGAGAAGAGAGAAATGAGAAATTTAACAATAACGGTAAATGATATAAACGTTTAACGTCCGATCTGCGTAATATATTCACCTCTTCGTCGGAACAGAACGGGTCGAAGGGGACAAAATAGAGAAGAAAAAAAGAAAAAAAAAACGAAAAAACCAAGCGAAGGAACGAAACTATGAAATGGTGCAAGAGGGAAAAATGTATTCGCCTGTATGCCAACAATATGCGCATGCATCAAACTACCTATCGTCTGTACTTAATCCATAATCGTTGTATTTCATTCGCCTAATTGTAAGTAACGTGAGCAAGAAGAAAAAGAAGAAGAAAGATAAAAAATGGAAGGAAAAAAGGAGAGAAGAAAAAAATCAATTTCAGGCCTACGCGAGAAGTGCTTAAAAGATAGTTACTTTTTCGTCAAGTCGAAATTTTTAGAGTGGGGCGCCTGAAACGAGGAAGAAGGTGGGGCAAATTGTATAGGAACGTGAATTGTCATTTTTGTTGCCGTGTAGGTACAGAAAGAAAGAGAAAGAATGAGATAGAGAGAGGCTAATAGCGTTAATCAATGGCATATTATTAACACGATACGAATTTTAAAGTCACGCAAACGCTTCGTGTCGGACACGTTATATACTTCTGTTGTATTCATTTCTTAGAAGAGGTGGTGAGTGAGAATTTTTCCACTCACGCTCATTCATCTTTCACGCAATTTCACACTTATTTCACGCGGCCCATTTAAACGGTGCTACAGTTCGGCCGTCCTGTACCTATCAACGTCGTCGTTGCAGTCCGGATCATACTCCACTCTCCTGTCTTTTCTTTTTCTTACAGCACTCATTAGTTGTACATAAAATCGTCGGTGTTTACAAGCTCCACCACAATGTTTCTACGCTCTACTTCGTTTACCAAGATCGCATTTAATTCTCTGATTTCGCGAACCAACGAGTTGTCGATCGTTGCGGTATAAAGTTTAACGTGCTTCTTTTCGTAGCCAACCATTCGAATATGCTACTATTCGCGACGAAAAACGAAATATAATATTTTTCGTGACAATGAAAACACCGTGCTACTTTTTATAACGCACGTCGAACTATGCTGTAACCGAAGAACCGGTGCCGAGTTTACTTCGCAGCTCCTAATCTCACCCGAACTGTTGTTTTCGTGATCAGATTTCACGTTCTTTTACGCCTGCCTAATTTTTACGACCTCACTATAGCTCTTCCACCAAGTTAAACATAAGCGAGAAACGACTCTATAGGAACACTTGATTTCGTACGAAACGACGCGTCTTACACTGATTATAGCCAAAAACCACATAGCAGACATATACATACAATACATGCTGTTTCAGTGAGCTACAATACGAAGCGAGTGATCCGCGAATGGGAAACTTATTGTACATCGTTCGTCTCGATTTTTAGAATCGACGTGTTTGTTTTTGCAATATCGTTTACAGTTATCGATCAGGCCGCCCCGTACTCACGAGTTAGCTATAAATATACAAATATTTATGCCACGTATTGACAGTAATCGTCGGTATTATAAAGTTGCTAGATCGTACGGTTCGTTTGGTTTCTAGACAACGTTGTATGTTGAATTATTTATCGTCACCAGTAGCCGTCGGTAGGAGTCGGTTTGTTTTCGTTGAATAAAATGCACTGTTGCATTTGCGGAACATCAGACACAACAAACTCATGGGAATAAATAAGAAGGATTTACACAGCGTGTAAAAGGAAAACATTGTATTTCGACTTTATATAATAGAGCGACAACGAACACGTTCGGTAAAGAAGAAAACGACGCACATTTTAGAAAAATCATAACCGATTCTGTGAAATTATGTAATCGTGTCTAGATGTTCTTTCGAGGGTTAGAAAAATTTTGCCATGAGTTGGTAAGCGTTTATCGACGAACATTTTGTACGAGGGATCGTAGTAGAATTTCCTTTGTTTACAAGAATGCATCGTAGTTAACGCGAGCTATTCTGTAAAAAGAATGAAAAGAGAGGAATGGTGAAAAAAAAAATGAAGATAAAGAAGAAATTAACAAGCTGGAGAAGAGGAGAAAAAGAATCACGTTACGATGAAAGTTCCACAATGGTTAACTTTTCATACTTGCACGAACTTTTGATATCAAGGAAAGATCCGCATCATGTGACCTACTTATTTTTAATACATATATATACATATATATATATATGTTCTTATTGCATCCGCCGAACAAGACGGGCTTGAGTCACGCGATACAGCTATGTACGTTTTACATCAATGACAAGCCGGTTTGTCGCACATACCCGTTTATGTTTCTTGGAGCTCTGTTACAGTATCTGCCACGATGTAGCAAGGTTGTAAAATCGGTCAGGAGCCAAAATGTAAACATGTTTCTCGGGTGTCGAAACAATCGAATTAACAGAAATATAAGCAGTTAAGGGCCTGAAACTTTGGCCAGGACCGTAGGAAGAAATGTTTATAACCCGTTAGGAAATGTAGCTTTACCGTTCAAGTGAATTTTATAAAACATTAATGGCTAATTCAGACACAAGGAAAAACTCCAAATATTCCATATAGTAATTAACATTTGCAGATTTTCCACTTGTAAATGAAATAGCGTTAGTCGTAAGTCGGTATTGTTTTATTCTGTAGAAACCGAAAACGGAATACAATGTACGGCCCTAAGTACATATACGGCGACATCCATCGGTCCTGCAGTTCGAAGATATAATTTACGACCTCTCTATATCATGGCACGTACTATAAACATTAACCGTTCGACACCTGTGATCATCGACGGCCATTTTAAATGATAATCCATTCACGTAGGAAAAGAAAATTATCACATAGCCTTTTCTGGATCATCACTGAATCATCGGAATACTTATTTGACGATGAATAGAGTGCCTATGCATATGTAAATCGAACGGAGCGATCTACGAAACACGAAAGTAGCGTATCGAACTAACAGGAACTGATTACTCGTCAAAAAATTGCTCGATATTCTATTATTGTACAGCGATTGTTATTTCAGCATATTATAGATTTACATAAGCGGTGTCCGAGGCGTTTACAATTTACGTATACATGCGTCGCAATTGTGACTGAGTTCCAAAATGTTCGGCCTAGTCCAAAAAGAACAAAAACAAGTCAGATTTATATGTATATGCTACATGTTCGTTGGTCCATATATGTAGTTAAAGTAGTAGCTCCTACGTTTTACGTTGACACGTTCTTTTTTTATCGGCATAACGTTGAGATTATGCTTGTGTATGAAAATGCTATGTCACATGTGAAACCTTGCGACTGAATACATACTACGTTGTATTGATTGAAGGCGTGATTCCACGTATCAACGTGCAAATCGTGCCAGTATTGTTTTATCTCACCTATGATGAGATTGTTGATTTATCGTCTTAGCGCTGAAGGATCATTCTGTATATGTGCAATGCAATTTTGTTACTGAGTACATTGATGATTATCAGATATTTGTAAATAAAGAACGAAATTCTACACGGCAACACTATTTTTAATTCCTCGCTTTCGTGCCTCTTATATGTATATACAGTTACACTGTCCGGTTGATAACGTAGATAAATATGTAAATTTATTAATTCATATTTTGCTGTATGTTTTATAAACATTCAATATTTAAACGATAACACTGATTTACTTACAAAATGACATTCTTCTACAGTTCAACTTATAAGAAAAAAGATAAATTGGAACGATTACAATGATAAGATAATTTAAACTCGGTAAATAACGCTATATTTAGTTACTTTAAGCTGAAGCGTTTGCCAGAATACGTGATTATGAAATGTGATACTTTTTGTATTTATATAAAGAATGTTTGGGAGCTGCCATCTGTTAGTAACTACTTCTACATAGAAATCGTTCCGCCTGGGATAGAGGTACGCTACCATACTGTATCATAGTGGTAGTTTATCCTTTAAAGTTATTGTTTCTCAGAGTTACTTTGTACTGCGATTTTTTATGCGAAGCATTTACGCTTGTTTTACATTCCTTCGCGAACTTCTCAGGGTGTACGACTGTATGTTATTTTAATACGTAACATGATTCAGAATTTGGTACGTATTCAAGAATTCAAATATTTGCTTAAAATACGCAATATTCGTATATATGACTAATTGATATGTTTCTAAATACAGTAATTAAAAATATATAGTGATAATAATAGAATTTGTACAATCAAGTGGATTAACTATAACAAAACAAACACGACAAGTGACAAAGGTAGTATGAGAAAGTGAAATTATATTATAGTATCGAGTGAGAAAAGAATAGAACGAAAGCGAGGGAACAAGTGTGTGAACGTTAGAGAGAGAAAAAACGTAAGCACCTGTTTTGTGTGAAGAAATATCTATATGTTAATAATATTTATATTATTGTACGTACTATATTCAACAATTAAATTTGTATTATATGAAATAAAAAAGGTAAAAGTATACATTATAAGTAACATAATTTTTTCAGATAAACATGTATTTCTTTGGTGTGAATAATATAAAGGAACTTGTCAATAGTTGTTTTCAAGGCAAAGAACCATGGCAAATAGTAACTATAACAAGTACATCTGTGCTTACTTCAGTTTGGTTATGGAATTTTATCTTTCAAGATGAAAGTATGGTGCTTTTTTAATATAAACATATAGCATGAAGATTTATATTTTGTAAACTAAACTGATTGTAATTTATTTTTAGGTCTTATAGAAAGAGCAAAGAAACAATTTTTTAATTTACGGAATTATATACCTGCTATACAAAATAAGATTGATCAAGAATTAGATAAGATTAGTCAAACATTTGCACTAGAAGCATTACAAAGAATAAAAGATGTTCCTTTTGTATTGAAACTTCCAGAAAATGGTCTAGAACCAAGTAAAATATTAGAACTAGTAAAACAGAGTGTTCAGTTAGGTAAAAGAAATGAAACACTAATAGAAACATTAGCTTATATAACAAGAAAATGTATACATAATGTTATTTAGGTGATTATGACTGGAAAAATGGTAAAGTATCTGGTGCTATATATAGAATCGATACTGATCTTTTACAATTAATGGGAGATATTTATGGTATTGCATCTTATACAAATCCATTACATCCTGATATTTTTCCTGGTATATGCAAAATGGAAGCAGAAGTAGTTAGAATAGCTTGCAATTTATTCCATGGAGATGATGATACTTGTGGTACTGTAAGTTACTTTCATCTTTAAACATTAAGTTAGCAATTTTAGCAATTTTAAATGTAATGAGATTTTTTTAGATGAGTAGTGGTGGCACAGAGTCAATTTTGTTAGCATGTAAAGCATATAGAGACTATGCAAAACAAGTAAAAGGTATCAAAAATCCAGAAATGGTATTGCCTGTAACAGCACATTCTGCTTTTGACAAAGCTGCTCAGTACTTAAAAATTAAAGTACGTATTGTACCTGTCAACCAACATAGCTATACTGCTTGTATTAAAAGTATGGAAAAAGCTATTACAAGTAATACAATAATGGTAAGAAAATATGTCAGAATAGAATTAAATTAATATTTGCATTATTAACATGGTATTTATAATAGTTAGTAGGATCAACACCAAACTTCCCATATGGAACAATGGACAACATTAAAGCAATTTCTGACCTAGGAGTAAAATACAATATTCCAGTCCATGTTGATGCTTGTCTTGGTGGATTTTTAATTTGTTTTATGCCACATGCAGGTTTTGATGTACCGTACTTTGACTTTAGACTTCCTGGAGTTACAAGTATATCAGCTGATACACATAAGGTATGTGAATAATACAACTATATGTACATATCAGGATATTAATTTTTGTAATAATATAAATGTAATTTTGTTTTACTTTTTTTTAGTATGCATATGCTCCAAAAGGTTCTTCAATTATTTTGTATAGAAATAAAAAACTAAGGCATCATCAGTTTACTATATCAACTGATTGGCCTGGTGGTATTTATGGTTCTCCAACTGTAAGTGGTTCAAGAGCTGGTGGAATTATAGCATCATGCTGGGCTTCATTGATGTATTTTGGTTATGATGGATATTTAGAATCAACAAAGAAAATCATTGAAACAACTAAATATATCGAGCAAAAGTAAATATTTTGATCTTTTACTAAATATTATTATTTCTTTTTATCTGAAAAACTGAATATTTTAAACTAATTGTAGGTTAAGAAAATTAGATGGAATTTTTATTTTTGGTACTCCAGCTACTTCAGTTATTGCATTTGGATCAAATGATTTTCATATTTATAAACTTTCTGAAGCTCTTAATGTAAAAGGATGGAATTTAAACACACTTCAATTCCCTTGTGGTGTACACCTTTGTGTTACATATGTCCATACACAGCCTGGTGTGGCAGATCAATTTTTAAATGACTTTGAAACTGAATTAAATATAATCTTAACAAATCCAGAAATTCCTATTGAAGGAAAGGTAAATATAATTGTCAAGCATAATTATAAATATAGCAAAAAGGTAATAAATATCCTTTTTCAGTTTGCAATTTATGGAATGAGTCAAAGCATTCCAGATAGAAGCATTGTTGGTGATTTTGCAAAAGGTTTCTTAGATTCTATGTATTTTATACCTACAAATCAAATAACAATCAGCAATGGTCTACATAACTAAACTAATTTGTAACATTACATTACTCGATATAAAATAAATGTGGAACTCAAATTATTAATATACATATAAATACTAAAAATAAAAGAGATAAAAAGTGTTAAAAATAAGATAGACTGTGTGAACTTTTTATTATGATACTAATAGAAAAATTTTAACGTTACGTCTTCTCAAATATATGTCTTTCTTGCTGAAGTAATATACAGAATATAAAATTTGGTACTGCATTATAACTTTGAAAGGGTTTGCCAAATATGCGGGAAAATATTTAACATATATTTTGTACAATACAATAACGTTTTGAAGTGCTTGAGTTAACAGTTTTACAGTACAAAACTTTATTCTAATCAAGACGACACTTTTTTTAACAGTATTTTTACACATTTTATGAATATAACTGATAATGTACAACTATAGTACCAGTAATAGGTTTTTAGGACATTTGTATGTACAATTTTTTATCTGCTATTATATTTATCTGCTATATAATTTATACATTTTAACTATGCTCATTCCGATATTAAATATTGTAACAAAAAAACGTTCTACCAAAAATTATACAATTATGATATTAATATTAACGATGATGTATAATTTGCTGTCAGATATTTTTATATGTTCGGTAATAAATTTATTTGAACTGAAGTATTTAAATAGTGTATTAA